ATTGGAAAACCGCTAATTGATCATCTGATTATTGAGATGTATGAATGTGGAGGAAAAAAAAAAAGTGAGATATGGAGTCTCAAAAATAGTTCCCTTTGCAATACATTATCTGCGCCATCCATTTTCAATATTTTCATGTATTTATGGGTCTACTTGATTTGAATTATTTTTGGAGTTCATAATTTTATAAAGAGCAATGAAACTAAATTCAAATGCCAATAATTGTTTACGCCAAAATTGATAAAATTCGGAGGTGTCTTTTAGGGATTCATGATCTAGGCCAAGCTGATCATGAATATGAAAAAAAATAAAAATTTTGAACTTTATAATGCACTTTTTTTTTGGATTTTTTGACAACATCCATATGTTATTTGATCTATATGTTATTTGATCTAGTGCGCTTTACACAATGTCCATCTATGAACATTGAAGGGTCAGTGGGTTCTTACACCCACTATGTCAGATAAATTTTCCTTTATTAAATTAAAAATTGCTTCCTTTTTAAATTAATATGATAAAAACTAAATTCAAAATATTTCCTACTCCCATAGGAGTATATTGTTCATCTGCTCACTCCTAACAATATTTTTTAGATCTCAAAATGTTGGGGATGTAATATCTAGAAACCAATGACTAACCTCAAACTAAAAAAATAAAATAAAATTTAACTCGCATCTTCTATGTGCCAAAAATAAATGACGTCCCATGATTGCATAGGAACCGTCTAATTTTTGAGGAAGGACCTAGATGTTTAAGAGCTCAAAATCCATTTTTTTTTAAAAAAAAAAAATATTTATCTATTGATTCTTAGATTGATCTTAAAATTTCAAATAATAAAAAAAAAAAAAATCTCCCAAGTACCAATTTGGCCCAAGGGAGTTGTTGTACAATATGATCTTGTAGGAGCATGTTATATATGTTAAAAATTGAAATGGATTGTATACTATAAAACCATTTACTTTTGGTATAAAGAGATCACAATTACTCATAGTCATTGGATGTGAAATTCAATAGATTGAAGGATGTCATAATATTCATAATTTTTTTTGGACTTTATGGCCAAGCAATTACATATTTCCAACCACTTAATTTCACATATAACACTCAATAATGATCACAAATTTTACACTAAAAGTAAATGATGTTATTGTATCCATTTTCCAAACCAAAAACTATGTTGGAAATCTAAATTATATGATGGAAAAGGTTTATAAAAGGGTGAGGCCCTAAACAATCAAATTAAAGCACACCTCAAAAATTTACTAGAAGATGTTATTTCAACGTTGAAATCCCTCAAATTCAATCATCTTGACCTCAAGATGTATGGCTATGATAAAAACATAGAATTCAAGTCTTGACAATAAAAATTTTAAGATTTCAAGTGTTCATAAATTTTCTCGATTTACACTATTTTATAATATCTAAATGTTATAATTAGATATAAAAATAAATTTTCAGGCAATTATAAAGATCAGTGATCCTAAAACAAAATATTTCAACACTATTGGAAGGTGCGCCTTAATTTGATTGTTTAGGGTCTTAGCCTTATACAAACCATACGCTTATATAATTAACATAAGGGAAAGAGTTTAGATAAGACATTTTAGATAAGACGTCCCTCTTATATTATACTCAAAGTAATGCACACCTTAAAAATCCATTCAAATGATTGTTCTGATATTAGAAAACCCTCTTGTTGATCATATCAATCTTGAGATGTATAGAGATGGCAAATATAAAAAAGTTTAGTCCTAAAGATAGTGCATCTTATAGCACATTATCTAGACCATCTATTTAAAAATTTTCAAATGTTTATAGGTTTGCTCAATCAATACGATTTTTTAAACTTTAAATTTCATAATTATGAGTAGCAGTAGATTTTTGGGGCATTATAGGTTTTTTGGCACCAAAAGTGTATCTTCTAGCAGAATTAGGAGGTGCGCGTGTTTAAAGTTAACACCTCATTTAAGTGACACCCTTTTCTAAAGGGAAAAAAATTATATAGGGCATTGATTTTATTATATATAAATAAGGCCCACCTCAAAAAACCCACTAGAAAAGGTTGTTTCGATGTTATAAGATCCTTTTTAATTGATCATCTCAACTTTGAGGTGCATCTTGTAACTTAGTGTTTGGATCGACCATTTTTAACATTTTTAAGTGTTATCCGATTTGTTAGATTCGCACAATTTTTAAGCTTTAACTTGCATAAATAGAGATAAAAATAGATTTCAAACTACCATATGGATTTTTAACGCTAAAATTACATCTTTTGATGGGATTTGGAGGTGCACCCTCTTTGACTGTTAAAGTCAGCAGCTTCTACAAAACCACACCCTTCTCTAAATCCCTAATGAGTATAACTATTTTTTTTAAAGTAAACAAGGGCTTACTTTTTTTTTGTTGGGTGAGTTAAAGGGGAGAGGGCCCCTACTTTTGATAAGAATTGTGCTTAGGATGTGGCATTGTAAATAGCCAAGCGCTAACCATTTAAGCTCAGGCTCTTTTCCTAAATAGAGGTTTACTTCCTAATAAAATACCAACATCACAAGGGGCCATATGTATGATCTTCATAGGTACCGTGACAACACGACCAAGAGGTTGATTGCAATGCGCGAATCACCTACCATTAATCTATTGCCAATATGTAATCTTCAAAAAGTTTCAATCCCTACAATAGATCAGCCTCATCTTTGTTTACATGGATTCCATCCCACATAAGAAATAAGAATATTTCCTAATAATTCTCATTAAACCTCCCACTCCTACAAGCAACAAATTAGATAGAGCTACCATCAAAAGTTTACCTTAAAAATTCCGTCCACTGGATGTTCCCATATGTATAGCATTCTTCTTTTTAATAAGGACCCGGTTTCTATGCAGCCAAGCCTGCATATACAGAAATGCGGGCCTCTTGATAAATCGATTTTTGAGATGGATTTTAGGATTTA